GAATTAAGACCTTCCGCTCCCACTTCCGTTACACCCGTTCCTTCCTTCCTTCCCACTTAAGGATCTTTGTATATCATTCTCTGATCAGAATCAAGCTGAGAGCTTATGTCTCAAGGTACCTCTTGAAGTATCTTTTACGTAATAACAGTAACAGTTAAAACTTTAGAATGTCCTTACTATGCAAAAATATTAAGTCATGTTATCCGAACCGTTGTATCTTGAACATCAGACAACATCAATGTTACTTTTAATATTAACTTCATAAACTCTCCCATGTACATCATTATATTCCTGGGAAAACTTTATTATTTTAATTAAATATTTCTACAATTACATGTACTAATACAGATCAGGTTGACATTTGATCTAATGCCTTCTACAGTCTACATTATGTATATTAACCCGAGATTTAGTCTACACTGTAAAACTAATTACAGTTTATTAAACCCCAATGGAAATAAGTCACTCTGACGTTTTTGGGTTATCCTAGGTTCTCTACACATATGCTGCTATGTATGATAATTCTATGTAACTGTATTTGTGTATACCTGAATTAACTTACTTACTTACTTACTTACTTATTTGAAGATTTTTTTTTAAACACTGCATTTGGCGAGGTATTCCCTTAAAACTCACCAATTTCTACACCCACGCCAGTTCAGAGAAAACAGCTTTCACAGGAGTGGCTTGCATAATAATAATAATAATAATGATAATAATAATAATAATAATAATAATAATAATAATAATAATAATAATAATAATAATAATAATAATAATAATAATAATAATAATAATAATTATTATTATTATTATTATTTCTACAAGTGGCAAAAGTTCTCGCTTCACACAGTAAGGGTCCGGGTTCGATTCTCGGCGAAGGGGTGGAAACATTGGACGTGCTTCCTTACACCGGTTGTCTATGTTCACCCATCAGTAAAATGGGTACCTGGGTGTTAATCGACTGGTGTGGGTCTCATCCTGGGACAAAACTGACCTAATTTGCACGAAATGCTCAGTATAACAAGCGGCTTTATATATAGAAGTATGTCATTGATATCAGCTAGGCCCGTATACCTTGTACATGTATACTTGTAGTAAATAAAGATATTATTATTATTATTATCTGCCACCAGTGACATACTATATAGAAAGCCCCTGGTTATGCAGAGCATTTCGGGCAAATTAGATTAATTTTGTCCCAAGGATGCGACCCACACCAGTCGGCTAACACCCAGGTACCTAATTATTGCTCGGTGAACAGGGACAGCAGGTGTCTTAAAGAAACACGCCCAATGTTTCCACCCATATCGGGGATCGAACCACGGACCTCAGTGTGTGAGCTGAGATGTAAATGTGGCTGGAAATATATGTGTGTATATTACAGTGGTATGTTACGACGATTGTCAATCAAATTAGTAACTTCGGAGGATTAATAACCCAGAATATCAAAGGCCAAACACTGAGACTTTTTCCATGACGATGCGTAAGTCCTTCCCTAGGAGACTCAAGGGTCAACACCATCAACACCATCATCATCAAAGTAAATCAGTTGCTGTCAAAAAGTCAACGAGAGAGTCTGGGTTACAAGAGAGTCAATCAACAAGAAGGGTAGGTGAAGTAAAGGTAGCAGAGCGATGACGACGTTGGAGGTAAATTCGAGCGAAGAACCCGTCACCGACATGAAGGCAGCTGTATGGGTCCTCCAGTAGTACATATGTCTTTAACTGTGGGTTTTTTTTCACAAAAATTACATTGAGTGAGGTTAGACTTAAAACTATTCATTGAAAGTACTCAAAATTTATTTAAGGGATAAAATTTAAATGACCAGCAGTTAAAAACTAGAACAAATTACCGACACTTGGGTGAAAAGTTCGGGTTCGTCCTGGATTATTAGCGTGACTAAATTATCCAGGAGGGACAGAAATGTTTCCCTTGGTTTATTCTCCAAAGTTTTTTCCGAACTGTTAGAACCATAGTATAGTGACATTCACCAAAAGTTTCTTAATGGGAAAATATTCCCATTGTACAACAGTGTTGGCTGAAGGGCAGTGAATGTATACATCAGTTTTAGTTTAATACTGCAAAATTCATAATCTTCCACGTAAAATAAGTTTCATGTAACGATTATAATAATCAAATTATAATAAACCTCCTCATCACCCGTCACAATCAACAACCTCTAAACTACAACACAGACATCGCTGAGCGTGGCTCATCCTCCGCCCATTACCTACCCATATGTGAATTAAAAATAAATTTGTTTAATTTCATAAATTTATACAAGAATAATGTTTCATAGTTACAGATGCATAGTGGTGTTTATGAGTTTGGCTGGAATGTTGGGGTTAAGCCTGGCTGAGATGCTTCACGAGGGGGCACATGACCCCAGCTTGTTCCTCAGGGACGGCCACAGCGCTGAGGAGCCGGCCTCCACCCCACCTCTGGGTCCCTACTTCCACGACCCTAACACCACCATCTGCACGGTCAGTCTACTGAGACCAGAGGGTGATGCCAGGAAGCCCTTCAACGTTAGCCGAGGAGATATCGATAAGATGGTTCTGGATGGCTACTACACCCTGGTGGAGGATGGACGGGCAGGGGGCGTGAAGGTACATTGTGGGAAACAAGTCTTCTGGCTCCTCGTCAGCTCTGGCCCTTCGCACACGAACATAGTCCACGACCCTCTCATCACCTGCCCCAATAAAAGGGAAAGGAAGAGGGAGAAGAGGTTATGTCGCTCGCTTGCTAACCGGGAAGACAGGAGGGACTGTCACTTTCGCAGGAAGCAGGAGCGGGAGTACTGCCTAGCCCTCCAGGGAAGGAAAACACACTGAGATAGTTTCACTCATCGGTCTGAATGGTGAAGGACAGGACCACAGTTAGTGACGAAGGAGGTTCAGCATCCACCACTGCTTCAGGCTGAATGACCCGCATGGATTTAGTGCTTCAAGCATGTACCAGTTACAACTGAAATCAGAATTGCTTTACACAGGTAAAATTATAGTAGCTTATTCATTATTATATTTTTTTTGGAGTACATTGATGATGAAGGGTTCTTGATTCAAGAAACTGGAGATATAGCAAAGATTCTTGGAAAAACCTGACTGCCTCTTCAACACTAGGGACATCCTGTCTCTAGTGTTGAAACCATCCTACAGCCTGTCCAAAATGTTGCAGTCATCCAACAATCTGTCCCTCGTGCTGCAGTCATCCTACAATTTACCCCTCGTGTGGCAACCATCCTACAATACGTCCCTCGTGCTACAGCCATCCTACAACCTAGCCTCTCTTAAGTGTCTCCTGGGAACTGTTCCAGTCACGGTTAAGTGATTTTATTAGCAAGTTATATTAATGATCACTCCGGGTTTAGTACTTGCTAATATTTAAAAAAAAACACAAAGGAGTAGAACGTTAATTAATTTAATTTAATGTGGCTATATAGTGTGCAGAAAAAAAAAGAAAGGCTAGAAAAACTTAATTTTAGTAGGGTGTCTAGATGCTGGTGGACTTTTACTCCAAAGAACTAAGCTATTCCCCTTCCTCCGCTCCATTTGTATACTCATTGCATATCTCCCCGTCCACTCCCAAGGCGTTACACCTTCTTAAAAGGCTTAGAGCTAATTAGATTTTTTTTTACATATTTCTAGTCTATAATCGTTTTAGGGCACATAAATAATTTTTGCTATATTTGGTAACACTTCTCTTTCATAGATTACTTGTGAAAAAGCGTGTGTACACTTGAACATCTGTAACCTAGATGGCTGGTATTAGTTACTATGAAAGAGCGTGTGTACACTTGAGCATCTGTAACCTAGATGAGTGATATGGAATTAAACAGTTGTTATCCTAATAATCCCTGCTTCCCTTTTCTTCTAATTTCGATGTTCATACTTACTGTGTCGTCCTCCTCAGGGTAGGTACGCTGATGAGGAGCTCTTGATCTAAGAACTTGTCCTATCCTCCTCCTTCTTAGATCAAACCTAAATGCTTCCTATTCACCTGGCTCCACGACCTGGGCGGATTTAGATTTCCCCTGATAGAATTTTTGAGTCCAAGCATTTTTTTAACTTATTTCAGCAATCTGCTATTCACGAGGCACTGGCCATTCAGGTTTCTTTGTTTATTCATAAATAAAATACTTGTTTAGATTACCTTTTAGTTTTTTCTATAAGGGCTGAGGAGCCATGACACTTCAGTTAAGGAATATAACTTAACTTCCCAGGCACTCTCTGAACCTTGAACCCCTTTATTTAAGTTCTTGACCCAGGTGAGGGGCATTGAGCCAAGCAATTGGATCAAGTCTCTCACCTTTCTTAGGATTATTATTATTATTATTATTATTATTATTATTATAATCAAGGGGAAGCGCTAAACCCGTAGGAGGATTCCTGGTTGCCTCTCATTACCCCAGGAGCTGTGTGACACCTACAAATTTAGCGCTTCCCCTCGATTTAACTTAAAACTTTCGGGTTTAGCACTTCCCCTTGTAATGTAGTTCATTACATAATAAAAGTGTTTATTTACATTGAGAAATGCGTTTTTTCCCTCTCTCACACTCACCCTTTCCTGCTTGCACTGACTCCTGCCCTTCGCACATTCCTGCTTTTCATACATTCCTATTTTCGCACATCCCTCTTGGCAGAGCTATATGACCCTTTTGGGTTTAGTGCTTAAATTGATTATATCTCTCTCCAGCTGAGTGGAGACCCCAGCAGAACAAAACAAATCTAAGAGTCATGCTGGCTGGTGGAGTTCCTCGGTATTGCCGGGTACACCGATACTACGAATATCGCAAGGTAAGATAAATATCTAGCGCTAACTTGCAAGTTAAACTCATTTAGCAAATTACAACGAGCTCCAAAACCTTATAGAAACGTAAGAAAAAATAATAATGAAGACCAGTGATATATCTCAAAGCTTGGCAGTCACTTGAATTGCTCTTCTTAATGCAACAAAGGCAACTTAAAATGTTAAGAGATAGAGATGGGTACAGAGAAGCTGGTGTGAGCAAACAACGCAATGGACAGTGCTTTCCCTGTCACCACCAAAGATATACGCTAGCATTCTACTACTGTTTTTGTTTATGGCTGTGTTACGACTGGAGATACTCTTAATGGTCATGGAAAAGTCTTGAGTGACGTGTTGAGTTATTTACTGTGGTGAGTGCTGTATCGTTAAGTTTTTCTAGTGATTTAGTGAAATGAATAACGGTAATACGGTGTGTCTCTGTATATGGTCACTCTTATATACTTGAGATTGTGTACGTTTTGTATGTTTATATTTCGTGCCTAAACGTGTAGATAAATTACATTAAAACGGTATGAATATGAACACAAAAAAGGTAAGGGTATGGAGACAATATGAATGTAACATATATATATATATATATATATATATATATATATATATATATATATATATATATATATATATATATATATATATATATATATATATATGTATGTATATTATATATATATATATATATATATATATATATATATATATATATATATATATATATATATATATATATATATATATATATACATACATATATATTTGATTTTCTAAAATAAATTGATCGAAAATTAATGAGCTAGATAAAGAATAAAATGTCAGGTGTTTCTTATCAATGGTTCATGTATGTCTCACCGTAACGTCGCCATTACTTGCCGAGTGACAGAAAATGTGTGAACTGGTGAGGTGGTTCATCATCTATAAAGATACATATACAGGTGAACGATATATGATCCAATGAACTGGAGACGTCTATCTCTTTTTTTTTCTTCTTATTCGCCGGTACTCTCCAGGCCCGGGTCTTTTCCAAGTAGTGGTGACCCGGCCTTGGCTCCCTATCTGGGGAGTATCTCGAGACCTAAGTCTCCCATGGGAGGAGGTACAAGGTCCCCCTCATCTTTGGGACCAAGTGTCCCCAGGCCTAGCCACATTCCCCGCCCTCACGGGGCTCGTAGGGAGAAGCTAGGCCTCTGGTCTGCCATCTGCCCCGCCCCAAAGGGGCTCGTGAGGATCGATTAAAAACGAAATTTATTAAAAAACAATTTTAAATAAATATGAAAAAAATATTTGTTATAAATTTATTAATTATTTTAATAAATAAATTTGTACATAATATAATCCATTGCTTTTAGTCTTTATAAAAAAATATATCTGCATTTCTTGCAGTTCTCAAATAAAATATTTAACATTTTTAATGTCTTTTCAGAATCTTGGGGACTTGTGAGACATCAGGATCAAGATGGGAGCCGCCAGTGCCATTCTCTTTGTCTTCGTTGGATGTTGTAGCAATGTTGTCTTCCTCGAGCTGCTCGTTAAGTAGGTAGAGAGAGAGGGAGAGAGAGAGAGAGAGAGAGAGAGAGAGAGAGAGAGAGAGAGAGAGAGAGAGAGAGAGAGAGAGAGAGAGAGAGAGAGAGAGATTGAAAGAGGGAGAAATAGAGATTGAGAGAGACTCGGAGATACTGATGAATGCAGATATGAGTAAATTACCATTCGGATATCATATCCAGTATTATAAAACAATAAAAATGATTTGAAAAGGAGACTGAATATATTGAAAAAGGAAGTGTTATGATGACAGCTCCAGGAAGGCTAAAAGAGATTCAGAGAAGAAAGAGAGAGAGAGAGAGAGAGAGAGAGAGAGAGAGAGAGAGAGAAAGAGAGAGAGAGAGAGAGAGTATGATATGAACTTTGTCCTGACTATTAATTACTGATTCCTCGGCAGTATTGTCTGGTACAGACAAACACGCTCGTCTTTCTTGTTGGAGTTCGGAGGTTCGCACTTATTGCGTTGACTCGTATTTAAAAAAGAAAATTACTGATTCTCTTGTATGAGAAGAAATATGTTTCTTAATAACCACAAGGAAAACAATACGAGCAATAAAAAAATAACTACAAAAAACGACAAAAACAATAAATAACAACAACAAAATAACAATGGACGTGCAATTTTTTGTACCTCAGCCTGACTGGCAAAATACAAGGAAAGTCGACTCATGTTCACAATTGAGGCTCCGCTTGAAATCATGAAGTTTTTTTTTACAGGATGGCCTTTATAACAGGGGTGACCTTTATTACAGGGATTACCTTTACTACAGGGTTGACATTTATTGCATAGATGGTCTTGATTACAGGAATGAACTTCATTACAGGGATGGGTTTTATTATAGGGAAGAGATAAGCTTTGTTACAGGGATGAGCTTTATTACAGGGATGAGCTTTATTACAGAGATAAGCTTTATTACAGGGATGATCCTTATTTCAAGCATGACTTTTATTGCAGGGTTTGACCCTTATTACAGGGTTGACCTTCATTACAGGGAGGAGATAAACTTTATAACAGGGATGACCTTTATCATATGAGTGACCTTCAGTACGTGGACGACTTTTATTACAATAATGGTCTTTATTATAGGGTTGACCTTTATTACAGGGATGACCTTTATTACAGAGAGGACCTTTATTACAGGGATGACCTTATATTAGAGGGATGAGCCTTGATGCCAGCGAAACTCTTCACCCAAAGAAATAAATTTGCTCTCCCCTGCCTTGGATCGAACTTGATTGCATGCACTTTCCCAGGCTCTCTATGACCCTTGCAGGTTGAGCGCTTCCCCTAAATAATTCCTTTCCTTGGATCATTCCTCATACCTTTCCATTTCCTCCCTGCGAGTCTAAACTCTTCCTAACACTACAGTAATAATAATAATAATAATAATAATAATAATAATAATAATAATAATAATAATAAATAAAAATAATAAATAAAAATAACAGTAAATAATAAATAATAACATTTATAGCAATAATAATAATAATAATAACAATAATAATAATAATAACAATAATAATAATAATAACAATAATAATAATAACAACAACAAGATCGACACCATGTCCAGCCCTTCTAGGGTAGGGTAGGTGCCTGAGCCCGAGCCTTTAGCTCATAAGACTGTCATTCCCATTAGCCCCCTGGGGGCGGGGATGGCGGACCAGACAGGCCTAGCTTGTGGCTAGGCCTGGGGACAGTTAGTCCCAAAGATGAGGAGGTATTTGTGCCTCCTCCCATGGGAGACTTAGGTCTCAGACACTCCCTAAAGAGGGAGCCAAGGCCGGGCCACCACTTGGAAAAGGCCCGGGCCGGGAGAATACCGGCTAATCTTTAATAATAACAACAACAACAATACTTCCAGGGATGAACCAGCGTGTGGAACTCTGATCACCTTCGCTCAGTTTGTTTTTATCGCCATAGAAGGTTTTGTTGTTACAGCTGACTTTGGGAGGAAGAAAAACTGTATCCCCATCAGGTGAGAGAGAGAGAGAGACGGGGTGGGGGGGGGGGAACTGAGAGAATGCATGATTTCAACAAGTTTGTTTTTAGTAGACTACATGTTGTGACTAGTAAGCTACGGTGGTATAATGTCACGTCTCTTATTATATTAAATTAAAGTCTGTAGAAGACCAATATTTAGATATAATGATATATTTACTATAATATTTTTATAACATAGTTGCCTCTAGTCTTACAACCTTAAAAGGAAGAAGGGTTGTCTCCATGCTAGTGAAGGGCTCTTGATCCAAGAAATTAAGGCTGCCCTCCTCTTCCTCGGATTAAACCCAATTACCTCCAATTCCTCAGGCGCTGTATGATCTCTTTAATATTAATAGTGCTAATGACATGAAATAAAGTTATCTAAACTTGTATTTAAAGCCAGGTTGTGTAATACTCATGGGGAAGCACTAAACCCGTAAGGGTGGTTTAACGCCTGTCGTCTAATGGAAAGTAGTCAGGCTTGATTCAATTAGAGGGAAGGGCAAAACTAAATCCCCTGGATCAAGAGCTCTTTCCCAGTATCAAATACAATAGTAATTCTGTCTCGCTGTCTTCTCCTGTGCCAGAGAATACTTGGTGTTGGTGGTGATGTTCTTCTTGGTCAATGTCACCAACAACATGGCCTTTGGATTCAAAATTTCTGTTCCACTCCACATCATTTTCCGCAGTGTAAGTGTATAGTTTACATTATTATGTTGATGAATGGTTCAGAGAACCGACAGGTTGATAAATTAGACACATGTGCAACACTTGGGTATCTTTATGTATACTACTTTGTTTTGTGTACCTCGATATGCGTTCGTTGGTATGTCTACGCTGCTGGTTATACTGTTAGTGTATCAGGATGTGTATGTTAGTATGTATATTTTTATACGTGCGTGTTCGAATATATATGCTGTTATGTGTTGTTATTACGTGAATGTTCGGACATATGCATTATAACGATAAACCCTTGACTAATTCATTATGAAGGACTAACGCAACCTCGATTCTCCTTCGTAAATCCCGTAAAAATCACGCTAAGTATATTCTCCAATTTTACCTGCATGTTACTGAGGAGGACTTAATTTTAATTTTCGTTTAATATTTGTGGCAGGGAGGACTGATTGCCAGTATGATTTTGGGGATCCTGGTTCTGGGACGTCGATACTCAGTGTCGAAGTACATCTCAGTCTTCATGATCACCTTTGGCACCATCATCAGTACCCTTGCTTCTGCTGAACATGTGGTTAGTGGTAATACGATATAATAATATATATCAATATATATATCAATATATATAAATATATATATATATATATATATATATATATATATATATATATATATATATATTCTATATATATATATATATATATATATATATATATATATATATATATATATATATATATATATCCAAAACAACCACTCTGAAAGAATAGAGAAATTTCAAGCGCTTTCGTGACTACTCACATTATCAAGGAACTATGGATAGTTCCTTGATAATGTGAGTAGTCACGAAAGCGCTTGGAATTTCTCTATTCTTTCAGAGTGGGTTGTTTTGCATATTCTGAATTCACCTGTTTACTGTGATCTTATTGCATATATATATATTACTTATATATATATATATATATATATATATATATATATATATATATATATATATATATATATATATATATATATTATATATATATATATATATATATTTATATATATATATATATATTATATATATATATATATGTCGTGCCGAATATGTAAAACTGGTCAATTAGCAAGAACTCATTTAAAATTAAGTCCTTTCTGAAATTTTCTCTTATACGTTTAAAACTACATTTTTTTCAGTAATGTTCATGTAAAAATTTTTAATTTTGCACCAAAAGAAACTTAGAAAATTTACCTAACCTTATTATAACAAGAACAATTTATTTTAGCCTAACCCAACTAAATATATTTTAGATTTGTTTGCAATAATTTGATACTAAACAAACACAGTGAAATATATTTTTTTCGTTAGGTCCAGAATGATTTTGGCGAAATAATTGCATACACAAACTTTCACTTGTCCTATATAGCAAGATGAGCGTTGCTATTTAAGCCAAGATCGCTAGTTCTGCCTATTCGGCACAACATATATATATATATATATATATATTATATATATATATATATATATTTAATATATATATATATATTATATATTATATATATATATATATATATATATATAATATATAATGTAAATATAGGGAGTAACCACCTCTAGAACTGTCCTGGGGACCCTCAGGGAAAACTCAAGGTTCTCCCTGATGCTGTTTGATAATTTTCTCCTACCACCCCTATATTTCAAGTTGTTTTTTTTAAAAGACAAAATACAGGGGCCCAAACATTCACAAAAATACAACAGAAATTTAAAACAACATAGGAAAACTCATAGCTACATCTGAATACTTCGTCCAGCACCCGGTAGTGGGTCGTTGTGCCAAATGCTGCGGGGATTTCCTCTCTGGATCGCAACACTGAGTCTCTGAAAGAGGAAGCTGGTCGCCGTGTCGTTCTTGGTTTCTATGATGAGCCTTTCACCCAGCTCTTTGAGGAACTTTAGAGCACACTTGCCCCATGCTCCAAGGGTCTCCGACCCTATTGGAATGAAGTTATAGCAAGGGAAGGTCTTCATATTTTCGGATCTTCTGGGTCTCCCTGTGGCTGGCAGCTCCACCTCCTTCCACTACTGAGTATGGCAAGTAGGTGTCTGCCAATGTGGCGGCACAGGTGCAGTCCCAGGCAATCTGCTTTCCATCCTTCCATGGCAGCATAGTGGCTCCATCAGACGCTTTTGATTTCCATCAGGCCCCCTGTACATGGGGTTCCCGTTGAGCTGGGCAACGGGCTGTGGCGAGTTTTTCTCTTATGTGTCATTGACCTCCTCATGTTGGCATACTTCCCTTTGCTGTGTGACACACGATACCCGAAGTCCGAATTGATCAGCTGTCGCCCTACCGCAAATACACTATGTTCGGTGGGATGGGGGCGGCTAGGCAAAAAAGAGCAACATCAACCCGAATGGCCTGTGGGTCGAGACGGGTGCCCAGGGGGAATTGGGAACCGCAAAACAGGAAATCTCTGAGTGTGGGCCTTCACTCCCAGGAGACGAGCTTTGCCCTTTTCCCTGAAGCATTGGAGAGCATTGGGGTTGGCGATTTTTTCCATGACCGGTTTGTCCAGTGGGACTGTTTGTGCTGTTTGGGAGGAGCTGGTCAAACGGAGGAGTCTGTAAGGGTGTCCACCGAATCGCTGCTTCAGTAAACCTGGGGTTTTTGAGCTCCTACCACGTCTCTCAAACGTTCGGGAACTATCTTCTTGACTAATGTACTGGAAGCCAAACACGAGACAGAAAAGCAGGTAAGCAACATGCATTGCTTTGCGCCCCCTATACCTCCCAGTCGCACTGGAAGGGTTGCCGATTCCATTGCTCATCCTCTAGTGACGGGTTTTCAGTGCCTTCTTAAAAGTTGATCTCAGGTTTTGCGTTCATATTCATCGAGTGTTGGGTTGTCAAAGAGGGTGCACACCTCAGGAAGTGAGTCTTGTCTTTAGTAAGACACCTTGTGAGGAGGATACAGAGCATCATGGGTATCAAGATCGCTTTTTGGGTCTCTCCATTCTCATCAGGTCATTCATTTGTCCCTGAGGACAGTGTCGATGGCCCGGTGACCCAGCGGTGCTCCAAGAGGTACTGTTGGATGGAGTGGTAGTAGAGACTTCCCGGGAGGGTTCTTCGCACAGCATTGATTATTTCCCGGTTCGCTGGACGATTTCACACTTGGAGGGAAAAAAAGATGAGTCCCCAAGTCTTTTCCCTGTGTTTCACCAGTTGTAGGTCCCCCCCCAGGGACTCTTCAGTACCCGCCAGAGTGCCCTCATCCAGGTACCCGATATTGAGCTCACTGCGTAGGCTGGAAGTTAGTTTCTTACTGCCAAGCAGAAGAGAAGTGGAGCGAGTGGGTCACCCCGCTGAAAAACCCTCTTATGATTGAATTTCATGTTCTCCCAAAAAAGAGAATTGAGGGTTTGCTGTAGCCGGCTGAAATGAAGGAAAAAGACTGGGGGAAACCCATCCCCAATAGTTGGCCCAAGACAGCATCTCTCTTTCACCATA